GTCACCCAGAAAATAAATGATCTCTGTAAGAATTATGAAGAAACATGAGGACAACAAAAGAAAGAAAGAAAGAGAGAGAGAGAGAGAGAGAGTAAGAGAGAGACACGTTGGCGCGAACAAGGATTGAGAAATCTCTTCTTCTTCTTCGCCAAGATCTAAAAGAAAGAAAGTATATTCACGCTCGCTTTCGTTGTTTCTCTCTTTATATAAAAGGCAACCTAAAGAGTTAAAGGAAATGTGCTTGGGTGATTGTAATAAAAAAAAGTAAATGCGTTTACGTAGGCACGTGGAAGGACAAAAGAGAAGAAATAGAAAGAGAGACAGAGACAGACAGACAGACAGACAGACAGACAGACAGAGAGAGAGAGAGAGAGAGAGAAAGCGTAAGGGGGGAAGATAAATATAATCAAAAGAGAAGGGTTGAAAGAGAGAGAGAGAGAGAGAGAGAGAGAGAGAGAGAGAGAGAAAGAGACAAATAAAACACAAAGAGAACGTTCGTCCTGTTCGAACTCATCCGAGTTTCACCGGTGAAATGCAAACCACTGAAAGTGGCCACGGTGAAACCTCCTAGCTTGCACTAATAAACATTTGACAGTGACTACCCTTTTGTATATATCTTTATCTATATCTCTATCTCTATCTCTATTTGTATCTCTATATTTACTTCTACTTCTATCTCTCTCTCTCTCTCTCTCTTTCTTTCTTTCTTTCTATCTTTCTCTCTCACGAAAGAAAACATGTATATCGTCTGTTTAAAGGATCTTGCTTATAATCGTTCTCTGTCCACTTGTACATCTACATGTGCTTAAGAAAAATGAAACAGAACTCTTAAAAAATGATAAATGTATGTATAAATATATACATATATATATTTATATATAATATTTAATTAATTCTCTATGAAACCATGGAAATTTTTAATCAAACATTTATACACGCATACGTGTACGTATATCTTTTCATTTCATAAATATTACAGTTAATTTATTTATTATACGATTATTATTATTATTATTATTATTATTATTATTATTATTATTATTATTATTATTATTATTATTATTATTATGTAAAAGTAAAAAAAGTAGATATTATTATTATCTCTTCATCAAAAATTTAACACAGTTAGTTTATTACTCGAAAACAAATGTTTCTACACAGAAAAAAAAAAAAAAAAAAAAAGAAAAAAAAAGAAAGAAAGAAAGAAAGTTATTCTTACAGTGTAAATATAATTATATTGATATAAATCATGACCGTTATAAATATCACGTTGCATAACTTCTTTGTTAGATGCAAAGAAAAATTGCGTTATAGAGACTTTGATATATTTACATATATTATTATTAATGAAACGTTCAAAGAACCTACTATTACTATTACTAATCCTATTAAATGAATCATATGCATAAATACCTGCATTCCTATATATATATACATATGTATGTATGAATTAAAAAACATGGTAATTAAATATTTTTTATATATAATAAAGAAAATAAAATAGAATAAATATATACGTGTAATGTTCATATTCTCAATTCTGTTTGATCGTCAAAAAGCAAGATAGGGATAGAGATAAATAGATAGATAGATAGATAGAGAGAGAGAGAGAGAGAGAGAGAGAGAGAGAGAGAGAGAGAGAGAGAAGGAAGAAGATAAAATTAGTTCAAAGTTGATAGATGAAAGACGATCTTAAATATAACTTTACATATACAAAGTAATACACTTGACGGTTTCAAAAGTTTATTTTGAAGTTTTGAAAAATGAGAGTGATGGCTGAGAGGGAAGATGAGAAAAAGAGAGAGAGAGAGAGAGAGAGAGAGAGAGAGAAAAGAGGAAGGATAAAGAAAAGAAAAAAAAAGAAAAAAAAAGAAAAAGGAAGAATAAATTCGACAAGGATTTACGAAAGTGCCTAGTATCGAAGCACACTTGTACAAACAAATTATCTCGTAGATTTACGTTTTCCCCTTCGATAATAATCATGAATCATCACCATCATCGTCATGGTCGTCGTCGTCATCGTCATCGTCATCGTCATCGTCATCGTCGTCGTCGTTATCGTCTTTGCCGTCGTAAAGAAACGATTAAAATTTTCACGATAATTTTTCACATAAATACACATATACACATATACCTAAATTATTTATACACAAATGTTCACGCTATTCTGATCGATCCTAAATCTAATATATTCTATAATATATGAAGTCGTAAAAATTTTATGATACCATACGATATTCATTTCGCTGATGTGTCCTTTTTTTATTTTCACTGCTTTCTTTCCTTTTTTTCTTTTTTTTTTTTTCAAGTAAAAAATCTATTAATATTAAATATTAGATGTAACAAATTAAGGCAATAATTTATTCGTTCAATTATTTTCAATGCAATTTTTATCTGATTTAATTGACCCCTATATATCATAGATACAGATATAGATAGCTTGAAAACAAAAAAAAAAATTAATTCGTTCATTTATTCTCAAATCTAATTTATCTAACCC